GCAAAAATATCGTGGTATGAGACAGAGTAGACTTACGCGTTGTGATTAAAGTCACTGTCAAAAGTATTTAATTCACCTGTGGGAGCCTAAAAGTAACAAAAACAAAATTCTTATTCTTCAAGAATGTGCTTTCGGCCTCATGTTTTTAGGTAATTTTTATGAGAATGGTTACTTGTATTGATTTGTCGTACACAAAGTTGAGAAAGTTAAGCATATGAAGTTGGAGGTCATGCGGCCGAAGACCTAAAACAATATGAACTTCCAGCCTTTGTGAAGAATAAGGATTGGGGGAGGGGGAGGGGGAGGGGGAGCGGGGCTTATTTGAGAGGGGGGCTTAATAGAGGATTTAGGGTACATACCTTTTATTTCAAAACTGGTATACAAAAGGGTAAGTGGTTAGACCGAGGGGAGAAGCCTTCCCGTAGAAAACGTCGATGATTTCATTGTATGCAAATGAGTCTTGTGATGACCATGCGGTCGACTGAAATGACGTGCCATGTCAGGAGTCCTGGCAGGAGGCCCTTGACTTTTGGTTTACAGTTGACTCCCGATAACTCGAACCCTCGCTAACTCGAACCATAATCAATTTCCCCTGAATTTCCTTTATACATTTTCTAATTTTACCCTCGGTAACTCGAACCCTCGATAACTGGAACATCCTGCTAACTCGAAGTAATTTTTGTTTCCCCTCAGATCATTTCCATATAATTTTACTCTCGAGATAACTCGAACCCCGTTTTGAGCGCTTAAAAAGTCGGGAAAAACAGTGTACTTTGGTCCGAAACGTTGGGTTTTGAAGCCCCATTGCCGTGTTGTAGGCAGATAGTTTTCTAGTGGAAGCTGGTGTTCATCCGTAACGTGAATAGCTTTACTTCTCAAAACAGTAAAACGCATGCTCTATATGGGCTAAATTTTGCAACGTTACGTTCTGATTTATAATCTAAATTAATTTTCTAATTTTCACTCAACATTTCTTCAATAAAATGTGATAAATGTGGTCACTGTACAGTAAAAACATTTTTTACCATACTTCCGGCTATTTTCGTCGAGCTCCCGATGAACTACACAACTCGGAAAAGTAAACTAACAAATGTAACAAAAACGTAACAATAGCGGAACGTTCGATATACTGTATCAGATTGTATTCAAATTTTAACATGAATCCGAGGCTTTAGGGTCAAAATTGCAAATTTTTTACGACTCCATTGTCATGATTGTCTCACAATTCCCAGAAGAGACTTGAGCAGAAAGAAAACCAAACCAAATGTAGAAAAATGACCAGAAAGTCCCGGAGTTCTTCTAGAATTTTAATACTGTATGTCGAACGTGAGATATGGCGTTGTTTCAATTTTTTATCGGCGGAAGGGGAAGTACGTCAAACCTAAAAATAACGAAGAAGTCTGGACACTAGACGGTTGCTTGGAATCGAGTCAGAAGAAAATGAAGCAATGGCGGATCATTGTGATTGTGTCAGGGTTGATAATTTTACTCCTCATAGCAAATTTCAGGTACGTTTTGCAAATTTGTTTTCATCTTAAATTAAAATAAGAGTTATGTCTGAATATTTTCTGCGCGGTACATTTTCACTTTCGATGAAAATTAGAATTATTTTCGGTAAAATTTTCAATCAGCCCCCATGCCTATATCCCTGCTAATCGTACATGTAAGCTTAACTATAATTTTTTTCAAATAATCTGAATTTTGATAATACTAACCCCGAGAACAAGAGGTGTACATGATTAAAGCGTAGAATATATGTATAGTAGATTTATCGTGCCGTGCGGAGATTATCACTGCCTTCACCCTCTCAAGAAGACAAAAGGAAGCTCTACTCGCAGGCTACGCCAAAATCGAACAAGCGAAAGAAAGGCTCTAATGGCTGGGTCTACTGCCTTGTTCTCGAATTTGATTTCCTTTTTTGACTTCAGTATTCAGATAAAGAAAAGAAGTACTAAGAATAAAGAAAACTCATCAAGAACGAGTTCAGCTGTTGCCGACTTGAATACTACACTTCGCCCAACAGTTATTGAATACAACAGCACAAATTCTTTAGGTAAGTATCTAAAGTTTAGAGAGTAGTGGAAGTTGAAGCTCAATCAATCAATCAAAGCTTAATCTCACTTTGAATTTCAAAGATAGCATAAACGCTAATATCTCCAAAGGAAAAGCAAAACAAATATAAAATAAATGAAAATGGTAATTGGAATAAAGTAATACTATATATTATGACATAGACAAGAAAAATATTATATACATTGTGACTATATATATAGAAACTAATTACAAAAGGAGCAGCATTTATTATCACAGCTAATGCTCTCAAATTTTTATTTAAGAAAACATGTAATGACTCAGCAGTTCTAAGTAACTCTGGAAGTGTATTCCAATATTTGCTGCCAGAGTAGTGAAAGGAGTGCAAACCATATTTGGTTGATTGAACTCTGGGAATACTGAGAGAGAGTGAACCACACAAATTGTAAGAAGAATTTCTTTCTATCAGTAGCTCATTAATATAACAAGGGGCCAGATCATGAAAAGACTTATATACAAGAGTTAACATATCATGTATTCTACCATTGTGCAGGCTAGGCCTATTGATGTTCTCTAGAAGTTTGTCATAGGAACTATGACAGTCATTAAAAATAAAACATAAGCAGCTATTCTGCATCAGGGAGAAGAGGATGCAAATTATTTATGAAACAGCAATTCCGTTTATCCAATAGCAACCATCACTCCCCCTAGCCTCCCACACAGGCATTTTTAGGGGAGCTCCTCATCTTTCATCCCTCCCCTCAAACGCCTGCTCATCCAAGAACAAAATTCCTTTCCCATTGTTTTATTTGCGTTGTAAGTGACCAACCAACAGTTGTGAAATAAAGTGTTGACAGGCTGAACACGACTAAAACACGACCCTAGAATTACCATTTTCCTTCTTTTCTTTCCTTCGCTAAGGTTGTGCAGTGCATGGAGTATTCTAAGATTTGACTAAATCTTACTTTTGCTGCTCTGAATCTAACATTTATTGAAGTCAGAAAACTTTCTCAGTGTTTCATGCAGATCGAGTAATTATCAGATTATCGTGCGGGCAAGGTCAACTTTCCAGAATTTGGAAAGTACAATGTGATTGGCCAAGCTTGGGAAAGGAATGTTGTGTTTGGTTGAGCAGGCACTTGTGGGGAGGGATGAAAAACAAGCTCCCCTAGAAACGCCTGCATGGGACAGGCTATCACTCCCCCAGGCACAGTTGTACCCTAGGCATTTACATGTAATTCAAGGTCAAGTCAAGTTATAGTTATGAAAACCTGAGACGAAGTCCAGGGTTTGTATAACTGTTGAGAATTCTCCCAACCCCTTAAGTGTTTATATCAGGCTATGCAAACACAGGAAAAAACTTTTCTTTTGGCTATTGCTTGTATAAACTAACTTTCCCAAGAAAAAACGCAAAACTCTTTGTTATGGCACTGATTAAAAGAGAAAGTCTTGTACACAAAGTCTTGCACGCGTAATCAGTTCTTGATTTGCAAAAAGATGCTATTCAAAATACGGATTCTTCTCGCTTAAACCCTCAGCTTAAGCGAAAAAAATTGACACACCTTCTTTGTAACGATTTTCCAAGTTTTAGCCGATGGAGGAATGGGTAAATAAAGTAATCTTGTCAAGTTTTGAACTCGAAAACTTTTTCAAATTCGTGCTTGCGTGATTAGCGCATGAAAAGCAAAGCATCTTGACACCACAACCATGTTTACATACTCCCATGCAAACACTCCTCTCAGCCAATCAGAGCCTACTATCTTAGTTATTTTATAAATAGGTATGAGCCGTATGGTATGGTATCTCAACCCTTACATGTAAATAGGGTATTGTTAGCATTGTGGTGCTGGTGTGATCCTTAGGTAACGAACTAGCCTGTTCCAGGCTCCAAAATAGTCGGGTCTGCAGAATTGAAGCACAAACAAGAAAAAGAAAATGCCTCGCCCCCCTTTTCGCGCGCCTTTCTCTTTTGCATCATCCCCACTCTTTCACGCCTTCCCCACTATCTGAGAGCCAGGAACAGGCTAGTAGGGTACCTAAACTGTATCGGCTAAAATTCAAGTGCACAAATGACTCAAACATTAATCATCAGTTAAAACTGAGCTATCCTGAAGAGTATTAGGAAAGCGATGAAGGTTTGTGTGTTGCCATTAGATTCTTAGTTTTTTTCCCTTGAAGAGGGTGTGATTCTTTGGATTTTGACTTAATTAGGGTATCAATTTTGTTTATATCATCCGTTAATAGGGTCAGAGTTTAAGAACCTGTGCGGCCTGCACACACCCAGTCAAAACGTATGGGAGTACCTGCCCTGGGACCCATCTAGACTAGCTTATAAGAGGCCCTGCCAGGGAGGGGTTCCAAGTGGCCCGTCTGAATTTTAAAACATCTCATGTCGGTGTTTATAAATGCTTGTCGCTTATTGTTGTCTTTGCTGTCACTGTCGCAATTTGGCCGAGGGAGGTTGTCTCTTGTCGCGATTTCATTGTACGCGCTGTCGCTACTTTTTGGGCCATGTCGCTTGTTGGAATTTACCCTGGCAGGGCCTCTTATAAGCTAATAATGAGTGACAAGTTTTGTTGTTGTTATAATTGTAAATTGAAAGTTTGAAAAAATTAATTAGTAATAATTGCAGAAACTCAATGCAACAATGATTTTACTAACCTTTTTCTCAAGCTGCTACATTATAGTTTTATGCTCAAAATTATGCTGGCATAATCTGAAAGATCAGAGGGTTTCTTATTGTACATGTATATATAGTCATGACATAAACATAAATATTTTCCCCTTGAAAATGTGATCAATTTGATCACCCTTCTTCAGGGCTTCTATCAGCCAATAGACCATTGGTAGAGGGCAGGCACTGTGTTGTTTAAATAGTATTAATAATTATTTCTCTTATATTACCGAGCAGAAAATGCAAAGAATGTTCCAAATTCAAAATGTTGGAAAAAAGAAAATACAAGGCTCATTGGAGATTGTATTCATTGCAGCGATTATGAAAAGGTAAGTAATATTATAGACAAACTCATTGGGTTCTCGTGAATGTTTGCTCCGAGTGCATGTACGTCTTCATATATAGGCTAGTTGAAATGTTTTAATTCAAAATTTTTATCAACTCCTGTGGTGTGTAAGATACTCTCAAGATGGAACCAGGATTTGTATGGTTTAAGTTGCTATAAAAGATCAGAATATGTGGCACTTTGTCAACAGAGAGGTGAAACACACCGGTACAATGTTACCTTGGTGGAACTAACAACTGTGATTGTCTTTAAATATCCCCATTCTGCTTAGATGTAAGGCATGCACTAACAGTAATTAATATTAGACCAATATTTCCCAATTCCCTCAAAAAAATCTGAAAATATTAATCTATTACTTTCTTTTAATTACCAGTGAATTGCATCTTTCCAGCGTAATCTCCGCCCCCCCCCCCACCCCCCAACCCTCTCATCATCCTCTCTTTTTTATCCACCCCCTGTCAAGTTAAAAATTGACAACTTGGATAACAAACATAGCTGAAGTGGAGTCTGATGGAGCAGTCAACTAATCAGTGACGATTCAAGCTCTGATGTTGAGGATATTCAACCTTGTTCCCAGGGTTCTCTCCTACCCACCCTACAAGGTTGGAGGATATTGACATTGAAAATTAATCAACGAACCAAATTTGGGACTTAAAAAGCCCATATTCAGTTTATATGATATATTATTATTTTTTTTGATTTAATGGAATAGTAAAACAAAATTTATCAGGCATGACTTCTAGTGAGTAATATTTGAAATAATCACCTCCCTCGAATAATTACTTTCCCTCGATCATTCGCCCCCTTTTGGTGCAAAAAAAAAGAACTAACTATTAAATTCAAGGATATACTGTATTATTATTTATGCAATTCCTGAAGTTCAATATTGATGTATGCTATGCCCAATTTTTATTTTAAAGCAAACTATTTCTGGATGTTTAGAATTTGGAAATATACAGCAAGGACTTTGTATTTCTTCAAATGTTAAATTTTATAAAAGGTTTGTTTTGTCAATTTCTATAATTATTAATTGCTCCCTACCTGCAACTTTTTCAAACACTTATTGTGGATTTTCTTCGTCTATGGTACATGTATATAGATGCCAACCTCTAAAGATCTAAAATCTGGAGACTACCATCCCCCGCCCTCTCCCCAAAAAATATGTAATATACATATAAATCAACGACTAAACCACTAACTCCCCCCCCACCCCCCTCCAATTGAACCCTTAAGCCCTAAGGGTGATCAGCACAAAAATTTATCCTTGCAATATCAATGCTGTGTAAAAGAAAGTGGTCATGAGAATTAGGGACATGATCACACAATATGAAATTTGCTTGATATTTTATTAACTTCTCCCCTTTACTTCTCTTGGAAATGAATAGGGGCAACAAATGAGAATTCAAATTTTGATCTTAGGGTTTAAAGGGATTGACCCAGTCCCCAGTGTGGCTTAGGGCTTTATGTGAAGTCTTAATGCTAGCAAAAATCAAAAGGAGACCAAAAGGGAATTAAGGGTATTATCTACTGACCCTCCATGAGCCGAGTGTGGATATTATCTGGAACCACACATTTTCAACCAGTTAGTTTGTATTTTTTTTTTTTATTTGCTGTAGTTGTCCACATGTACTTCAGTGGGAAGAAAAGAAGTTCTGGATGTTTACGGTAAAGATGTGCCTTTCTTTATGCCTGTGTATTTACCAAAGGAATTTTGCAGGAGTAGGGGTGGGGGAAGGGGACTGAAAATTTCAAATGAACTGAACTGTCATTTATAACTGACAACATTGGAAGGTTTGTTTCTATAATTTAAGGCAAAGGAAGATTAGATATTAGTCCAGTTGGAAATGTTCAAGCCATAGCTGGCAAGAAAAAGAACAACTTCAGCTAGTTCAATTTCCTCCTTGGTCCAGTTTTTTGTGTTGCTTTGTGTTGTTAAATGTTACGATTCTGAACCATTCAAAAGCAAAGAAAAGTAATTAAATAATAGTTATTATTGAAATGCTCCATGGACACAGGTGAATGAAAACAAAACACTATCCAATCTTATCATTATTGTATTATTTTTCTGATCAATTTATCACGTTCCAAGGAAGCCTCCCACACAATCATTTTAAGGGGAGCTTTTATTTCGTCCCTCCCCACAAACGCCTGCTCAAGCAAGAACAACATTCCTTTCCCATTGTTTTATTTGCGTGGTAAGTGACAAATCAACAGTTTTGAAATAACATGTTGACAGGCTAAACAGGACTCATAAGGTTATGCAGTGCATGGAGTATTTTAAAATCTGACTCTTACTTTTGCTTCTTTGAGACTGACATTTATTACAAGTCATAAATCTTTCCCAGTGTTTCATGGAGATCAAGTAATATTATCAGGTTACCCTGCAGTCAAGGTCAACCTTCCAGAATTTGGAAGGTACAGTGTGAATGGCTAATCTTGGGAAAGGAATGTTGTTCTCGGTTGAGCATGCGTTTACAGGGAGGGACAAAATACAAGCTCCCCTAAAAATGCCTGCGTTGGAGGGTAGTTCCAAGGGGCCCTCTCCTACTCATTCCACTCGTCCTCCAAAAGAGGCAGGATGCTCTGTTGATGAGCAGGAAGTTGTTTTCTGGTTCTTAAGTCACTGACAAAACTATAAGAATGCTTACTAAAATAACTAGCGTTATTTCCACACTGGAGGGAAACACAAGCATGGCCGCCTGCCGAATTTAAGACTGTGCTGCGAAACACTGTGCATAATCCCTAAGTACAAATTTTTGTGTGTCTCTACAGGGCTTGATGCTTTTAGGGCTGATTTGCTCTTCTTTGCTGGTGTGGTACAGACAAAGACAGCTCGACAAAGTGTTTTATCAGAAACTTCAAAGACAAGTGGAGAGTGACACTATATAAGCATGATAAAAAAAATTGTGAACACCACCATTTGACATTATTAATGATGGTTAAAAAGGAAAAGAAATAGTTGGGAGTAATGCAAACCAAGATAGATGTGGTCAGGAAAGGTATCAAGAGAGTTGATTGATTTAAAGTCCAGCAAGTGTACTGTAAAGTGAAACGGAAGTTTTCTTTTTTGCACCATTCTACAAAAATGAAGGACGGCACTTTAATCTTAAAGAACTTTTTACAGGTATATCTCAGTACCATAACACTGGGTAGAAATACATTTTATTTTTCTTATTACAATATTTTTCTTCTTAGAATAGTGAGTGGTATATTTGGTGTTGTTAAAAAACAAGTCATATAAATAACATGCAGAGTGTTCCTTATCTGTTAATATATTTGTATGCGTCAGTGTTGTTTATAGAATTGCTGACAATTTAAGGCTTTAATAAGTTTTTGAAGTGCCATAACATTAACACACTACAAGAACTTCTGCAAAAAATATTTTTTATTTAACCACACCTTGATTTCTTTTGTTAATGTCAGTCAAACATGCCGCTATTTTAGCACCCCATCCATTTTAGTCTTCTCTTGAAAGCCCTTCAGAATACGAAGATGTGCTATAGATTAAGGTCATTAAGGAAATTTTAAGGATATAAATTAGGGAACACATGACTTTGAATACAAGTAAATGAGTGTGGAGTTCTGGAAATATTTCCAATTCACAATTAACGGAAACAGCTGTTAAAAAGAACAACATGCCAGTAAGATGCGTTGCATTTAGATGCAACAATACTGGCAGCCTATAAAAGGGATAAGAATGCATAAAATCCTTTTTTTCAGCTCCTTAATTTAGGTCTCGAGACATCAGATATGAGCCTGTCAATTTCTACCCTGCGAACAGAGTCTCCTTTGATCTTCCTAGATAAGTCTCTTTCCCAACTTATCTAGGAAAGATCAAAGCGACTCTGCTAGCAGGTAGTCAATGTTGTGACCAGTGGAATGGGTGCGCCAAAGAGTTAAGACGTTTTTAAAAATCATTTTGTTAATATTGCAAAATGTTTTTGAAGAAGTTCTTGCAACCATCCAGTGCAAAGATCATGACACACGGGCTAGGCACAATACAACAGACTAATATTATTAATGTCATTGCTGGCAGTTTAGTCTCTCACGCCTGATTGGGTTTTTTTCTTTGAAACACAATAACATTCCAGCAATATTTCTGGGTTGGTTTTGTTACTTTGACAGTAACATTAGAGTACAAGGTCATAATTTATAAAGAATTATGTTGCATGATAAACAAAAGTCAGAGATAAGAACAAACTGGTCACAAAGGTCTTATTTTTCAGTTGTCAGCTCAAGTTCATTTGAAACAAAAGAAAAAAAGAACACCTTTGTGACCAGGGTAGGAAAAGTAAGGGAAAGTGTACATGCTTTGCATTAATTGTTAATTTTATTACCGGTAGAAGACTGATATCATGAAAGAAAAAAACTTTTGAAAACAATGAACAAGATTTCAGTGCCAGTAATGCACTGTAATACTAGTGATTCGACATGGACATTGAATCATGTATTGATCAGTGTGTTGGCTGGTGTTAATTTTGTATAAACAGAACCTTTGTAAATTTCAGGTACAAAGTTTGGATTTTGTAAACATTATGAGGTCTGTAAAAATTTAATTTATTTACTGGAGGTTAATATTTATTGGTAAGGCGTCTGAAATTAATAAATACAAAATCAAATGAGCTCTAGATTCTTTTATGGTGAGTCTTTAAGGCCGTATTTTTGGGAGAAAGGTAGTTCTATTCTGTACATTTAGACTTGAGAGCAGGATGGATGACAGATATTTATGTTCTAAAACAAAAACAACTCAGTGGATTGTTTGAAAAGCCTATCATATGACGGTTGGTTTAAACTAGCCTCAAACTATGCAAGGGCACAATGTCTTGTACTCTAATGTAGCTCTGCTTTGTTGTAAAGGGACATGTCAAACTGTTTTCAGTTTCATTTTGTTTTTTCAGGAACAGGGGTGCTGTATTTCACTATTTTAAAAGTTTCCTTTGAAACAATTGACAGTGTTATCTACTTAACTTGCAGAAAGTAAAGCTAAAATGTCAGAGTTTTCATAAGTGATAGCAGCAGGATCTGCCTCTTTGTTTCTGGCATATTTCTCAGCATCAATCAACATTGCTTTTGCAACTGTTGAAACAGGAATGGACGTTGCAATCCAACCTAATAAAAAAAGATGAATAAACAATGCTTTAACCCAATCTATATGTGGAAACGAAAGTATGGCGCTAATTAATGGAACAAATCTTGGTCTAAATTCCAGCGCAAAAACACACCAATTAAGGTGTTTGTGAGTCGAGGTGCTGAATTATAGTGACTGGTACAAGTTACAAGTTCAATTTTCGAATGACAAACTCTTGAAAGCATTTGTAATGTCTTAGTGTCCAGCACTATGCTGACTTTTGTTACTGGCAGATGCCAAACGAACAACTTTCAAAGTTCAGGTATGTGATTCTGTGAGGTTGGTTTCAAAAATTGCTATTAATTAATATTCAGCATGCAAAACAAAATGAATCACATGCTTGAAATAAGGTCTCTTGCATTAAGAAAGGAAGCAACCTACCATATGCCTTTTCTAAAAATCTTTTCTTGGCCCCTCTATCTAAAAGACCAGGTCTAAATATGCTTGTCTTTGGGTATTGCATCTCCTTCAAGGATTCTTCAACCTGACAAAGAAACAAACTTTGTTACAATAATTCACTTCTGAAAAACCTAAATCACGCCTTATGCTAGCTGAAAATACGGATTGATCAAATAATCACTTTTGTTGAAGATTAAAAAACAAAAAGTGAATTTTTCTGGGAAACAAAGTTTTTAGAACTTATTACTTAAGTCCCATAGCAGCAAGAGTCGTAATCTGCAATGCATGACAAGTCCCGCGTAAACATAAAAGTTTAACAAGGTTCACGCTCAACTTTTACGTTACCATTGACCTCCCAAACATTGCCTTACGCCCACAAAATCTACGTGCATTAACCCACATAAATATTACACGACAGTGAAAATCCACCCTAACTGAGGTTAAATTATTTCTGTGATGCAGGCTAGTAATACATTGCTTTTGATTGTGGAAGATTCCTTAAAATTTCAGTAATAATTGCGTAGAAATCATCGGAAATTTTCACTTTAGATATACAATAAATTGCATTGCATTGCACTATTGCATTTGTTTGTATTAGTTTTCAGTAGCTTAGTATTCTTTCGTTGTTGACAGCTAACGACAGGAACACAAGGAAACGCCACAGAGTAAGAGGAAGAAGAAGAAGAAGGGTGTCCATGGTGTGGTCTTTCTGTTCATCAAAAAAATTAAAAATCATAAAAAATCATGAAAAGTTGAGCAATCTTATATTTTTTGTTGAGGTTTAACCCACAATAATAATTAGTGGTTAGCAAATGTGTGCAAGTTTAGGTACCCAAGTGTAATGCTATAATCTTTTTCCAGGTTTAAAACAGAAGGTACACGACGTCTCTGACTATTGTATGTCCCAAAGGCAGTCAATTGTTACTGTGTAACCAAGCTAGCTGTTGGCAGTTTTTTCTCCTTCCCTATATGGTTTCCATGCCCACAAACAGGCAGCACTTAAGAATTAATCACCTCCTTATTTCTTATCTAATATCCAAGAAAGCTCAAGTTGATGCTTTTAGAGCATCTTGTGTATTTCAAAAAATTAATGCTCTTGTAGATTTTTTTTAAAATCTTGCCTAAGGTAAAGACTACAATCCAAATCGCACTGGAGGACTATATTTTATAAGATTACATATGGCTAGATTTTTTAGAAAATTCTCAATTTGTAGATTTCATACACGTATTATTGTTGTTCTGTTGCTAAGCTCCCAGGATATAAATGTATGCTAATTAGAAGCTTTCATTTATTTTGAAGCCACTGAGGACCACAAAACTGTGGAGGGTGTTCCTTTTTTGGAAACTGTTTAGGGCTGATTAAGTTTAAGCAAAGTCAAGGGGAGTTCTGTAAATTTTTAGATTACTACAGAAGGGGCATACAAAGTTAGTTCACAGCATATAAACAAATTTGCCTAGCCCACTCCACCCTTGGTGAGCTCATAATAAAAAAAGCCACCTTTTAATTGTAACCTTAGCCTTTAACTTTGAGATACAAAAGCCAACTGGAAGAGTTAGCTCAAGAACTGTTTAACAATTAGAAAATAATAGATTCCGTGTTGCCGTATGTCTGTTCAGTAATAGATCACTGTTGACGTCAAAATGCTCCAGACTTTCTACTATTTTTCCAGACTTTATCTCTATTTTCAAGACTTTTTCCAGGGCTGGAAAATTGCTGAGTAAATTTCAAGAATTTTTTAAGAATTCAAGACTGTTCAAACCCTGTTCTTCTTTTCCTCTTTATCTTAGTTGCATACATTTACTCCAAAAAGATTTTCAGCACCTTCATTTGCTCATTAAAGGGCAATAATCACCAAATATTTCCAAAACTGCAAGCCTCTCAAAGCGATGACACATCATGGCAACTGTTGTGAAGATTTGTTCCAGTTTAGGCATTTTAAAGTCATCAAGAACTCTTTTTGTCTTGACTTTTCCATTTTCTTCTTTGTTAATAGCTCCTAACTTTTTTCGAGGCGGCCCCTACTGGCTTAATCTGAAATAATCTTGCAATCATTTTCAGAACCTCACGCCATATTGAACAAAATAGAGGAAACAAGTTTCCCGGCCTTGACATCATCCATGTGTCTGTACTCTAATAGATCATGGGCAGCGACCAATCACAGCCCACGTAATATTCAGCACAATTGTATTAAAATTTTCAGCTTACTACAGAGGGGGCATAGAAAGATAGTTTGTGGCATGTCAACAAATTTGCCCACCCCACTCCACCCTGGCTCATAATAAAAAAAGCCACCTTTTACATGTAATTACCTGGCCTTTAACTTTCATATACAAAAACCAACTGGAAGCGTTTGCTCTCTCT